CTACATGCATTGGGGTAGGTTGTGTTGAAAGCAACGTATGCAGGGGGTCTAATTCAGAAGTCACAGGTTAGTGATGAACAGTAAATCTCAACATTGTTGTCCTTCAAAAAATCTACCTGTTCTGGGAAAAAACTCAAAGGGTAAAAAGGTTAGCGCAACAGAAACATTATTATATCTTCGTTGTTGAACCCTACTGGCCTGAGAATCCAAAGCATAAGAAAACTACAGTGGAAACATATAAGGGGCGGTCATTTTATGTTTGTTGAGGGAACTGATCACATCTTCTCTATAGACTCAGACCTGAGAAGGCAGAGACTGTGTTTGTTCACCTTTGAGACAGGCACGGATAGTAAGAGACTCAGAAGATTCATATGGAAGAAACTTTTATGTGCTCTCCAAGCACTGGTTCTTTTTCTCCTGGGGTCATAGCTAGATGACATTTCCCGACTGCCCTTGGGTACCTAGGAGAGAGTTAGTGACTTCAAAGCCTGGCCCATGAGACATTGCCTCCTAGTATTTCTACTCCTTCCTCCCAATCTCTGGGCTGGATGCAGAGGAGGGTGATGCCCTAAAATGATGGTGTGGACCAGAGCTCTCACCTCCCACATGATCTGTCCTAAACGCCTGAAGAGACAGAGAAATAAACTTTTATTATGTTTGTGTAATGAGACCTTGGAGTTGTTCATTACAATAGTTAGTCTGTCCTGATGAAAATAAGGTGTGATCCAAACTCGGTTCCCTTAAGAGGCTGTTTATATGGAAAGAATAATGGGCAGTTCTCCTATGCACCACACACTGAGGGCTCACAGATGGGAAAACAGGGCCCTCAGTGACCTCAGTCTTGTGCCGTTCAAAGAAGAAAATAATATCAATTCTACATCTATAAAATCCTGTCATTTCCTCTTTCTTAAACCCCTCACAATGTCCTTATATTTTCTATTTCATTTACTTGCTTCAGAGATTCCTTTCAAATTAGTTACTTTCGTCTTTAGTAGCCTTATACCTACTTATATACAAGTCAGCCCCCAGAACATAAACTATCTCTTTAGCGGTTGGGAGAATACTGAATTTAGGTTGGTCTGAGTTGCTGGGAGATCATCCGGGTAGAAAGATTTAAGAGGCTGGAGGATTTGGAACTTGGGAAAGAAATCAGGATCAGAATGTGCGAACACTCTGCATATAGAGTACTTTTTGGTTTTGTTTTTAAAGATACAGAATCTCACTCTGTTTACCAGGCTGGAGGGCAGTGGCTTCATCATAGCTCAGTGTAACCCCAAACTGCTTGGGCTCAAAGGATCCTCCTGACTCACAGGCACTCCCTGTGCCCAGCTAATTTTTTTTTTTTTTTGGTTGAGATTGGGTCTTGCTATGTTGCCCAGGCTGGTCTTGAACTTCTTGTCTCAAGTAATGCTCCTGTCTCAGCCTCCTCAAGTGCTGGGATTATAAGCATGAGCCACCACACCCAGCCTGCATGTAGATTTCTCAAGGAACATATGTAGAGTTAATAAGTGGACCAAGGAACCCTTGGGGAACACTCACACATAGGAGGCAGACAAAGACACAGAGTCAGTATCCCTTTCATCAGAATTAATCAGTTGTATGACCTTGAGCGAGTTAATTAAAATTTCAAGATCTTCCTTATGTTAATAGTAAGAGATCAGAGTAGGTCAATTCAATTCTACACCATATGGTCAGGGGAGGGAGCATAGCCTAGTGGTTAACAGTGTAATGTCCAGAACCAGACTCCCTGGGCTTATATCACTGCATCAGCACCTTGTAGATGTGCAATTTGGACAAAGGTTTTTACCCTCTTTGTGGATTAATTTCCTCCAGTGTAAATGACATAATAATGGCACCTACCTCTGAGGCTGTTACAAAATACAATAAATGAGAGAATACATGTAAAGCATTCATACCTGATCTTGGTGCGTGATAGTAGCTGCTCAGTAAATGCTATCTATTTAAAGAGACAATTTACTTGTTGAGTAAATTTTATTGGTCCCTCTTTCTAGGGTTCTCCGAGAGGTACCTCTCCTCTGAGGGGAGAGGAGCTTAGGTGGGCAGAGTCACCAGATCTCCTGTAAAATGCACATCACCCATTTGAGCCTGAATGCCATTTAAATGGAGGCTTTCTAGGTGTACCCTGAGGCTATGGTGCTCAGGATATTGAAAATATTGAAAAGTAAAAAAAGCCAGGAGAGAAAGTGAGTGGTGAAGGCTTTAAGAAGGAAAAAGAGGGGGAAAAGGCTAAAGTGCTAGAAAGGAAAAAAGTTGCAGAGCTGAACAGGGATTGAAAGAAGAGATGTGGGAAACAAAAGACAGGGGATGGGAAGGAAAATATTCATCTCTTCAGTGACACGTACACAGTTACTTTGCTTTGGTTTAGTTGTGTACCGATGGCGTCTGTGGCTCCAGCAGGTGCACCGACCGTGGGCCCTGGGAGACTGAGCATAGGGGCTGCATCTGCTGCTAGTGTTCTCCAGCCAGTGACCCCCAGGAAGGAGACATCCAAGGAGCTGCATGGAAAGAGCTGTGTTTATTACTAGTTGCAGCAAGGAAGAGCACACACCATGGAGAACTGTGGGGCCT